CTTTCATGTCAAGTACAGTAAACACAGCTTTATTATTTAGCTCAGCAGCAATTTCCTCAGCTGTGGGAATTAAAAAGTGCTCACGCTGTATATTCTGATTTAGAAACTTTGGGTCTAGACATAGCCTCAAATCACCATTTTTTTTTTCTACGATCACCAACGGATTTAACCATTCAGTTGGTTTTTCAACTTTTCTTATGATACCCTGGCTTTCAAGATCAATTAATTTATGTTTTACTCGCTGATGAAGTGCTTGAGGTATGCGCCTGACTGCCTGAACATGTGGTAAATAATTTTGTTTTAAAACAATTTTATGTTCACTTGGAAAACAACCTAATCCAGAAAAAACTTGAGGATATATTCTTACAATGTCCTCGACGTTATTAAATTGCCCTATTTTTGTCAAATCCTTAATTGTGTCAATCCTCTTAATTAGATCTAAAGCTAAACATTCTTTTAACCCTAACAGAGGCATCTGATTGTTACTATCAACTATGACAAAAGGTAAGCATGCAAATTTATCATTAAGTTCACAATTCAAATTAATTTCTCCAATTGGATTAATTTTAAAATCCGAGTTACCATAAGCAATTAAAGTCATATTAGTCTTTTTTAATTTAACCTGCCTGTTAATTTTATGCAAAACATTAAGAGGAATTACACTGACCTCTGCTCCAGTATCTAGCTTAAACTCTATTAGTCTACCTCCGATTTTGATCTTCTTGCGCCACATAACTTCACCACTGGACCGAATGCCGTCAACTTTTTTCACTAGAGAACTTACATAAAAATTATCCTCGCTGCACTCACTTTCATCACTATTCTCCACTTTCACTTCGTTCACTCGTTTTCCATTTTTGTTTCCATAGCTTGTACGGGCCTCCTTTCCTTGATCCTTCCTCCTACACACACTCGCAAAGTGGTTTTTTCCATTGCATTCTCCGCACACTTTACCGAAAGCCGAACATTTGCCTTTGGTATGGTTGTAGCCACAATAGCCACACCTCTTCTTTTCTAGATTATTAGGCACAAGTTCATTTCTATCTCTCTTCTTCTGCATCTTAATGGCACTTACAGAGGCTTCAGTTTGCAGTGCCTTTGCTTGAAATTTGCCGAGGGGGAAACCACTCTTTCAATTTGGTGTACATGAATTTTTCATTCCAGTTTCATTCCATTTTCAATCTTTCAATATTATCATTATCAGTTTCATTACTTTCAATCTGTTCATTCTCTTTTCATTCTATTAATTCTAAGATTAATTCTTTTTTTTCATTCTATTAATTCTCTTCATTTATTTTTCATTTCCTCATTTTTTCTTATTACGGTTATAAATATTTTTCATTAACGGTTTCATTATTTACAAAAACGAATAGTTCATTTTCAATTCTTACGATTTCATTCTTTCATTATTATTTCAATCTTTCATTACACACTTCAATCCTCTCATTATTTCCATTTTCAATCTGGTGTACAAATTTTAAGGAAGTGGTTTCCCCCGAGGGGTGTACATGAATTTTTCATTCCAGTTTCATTCCATTTTCAATCTTTCAATATTATCATTATCAGTTTCATTACTTTCAATCTGTTCATTCTCTTTTCATTCTATTAATTCTAAGATTAATTCTTTTTCATTCTATTAATTCTCTTCATTTATTTTTCATTTCCTCATTTTTTCTTATTACGGTTATAAATATTTTTCATTAACGGTTTCATTATTTACAAAAACGAATAGTTCATTTTCAATTCTTACGATTTCATTCTTTCATTATTATTTCAATCTTTCATTACACACTTCAATCCTCTCATTATTTCCATTTTCAATCTGGTGTACAAATTTTAAGGAAGTGGTTTCCCCCTCGAAATTTGCTTACCTCAATGGCCCTGCAAAAATTCACAGCTTTCTCTAAGGTAAGGTCCTTTTCACGCAGCAGCCTTTCTTGTGTCGCTTTGTCAAAGATCCCCATTACTATACGATCCCTTACCATATCCAGTGGGTCAGCATATTCTGTAGTTTTCACCGCAATTTTGAGGTCTGTTACAAAGCTATCAAAAGTTTGTCCCTCTTTTTGAACCAACGAATTAAAAACAAATCTCTCATAAATTACGTTCTTTTGAGGGGCACAATGGTCCGCAAACTTCTTTTTGATTTCTTTCAGGGACTCCTTTTCCGCGGCTGTCAACGTAAACGAGTTGTAGATATCTAATCCGTCTTCTCCAACTAGACTTAAAAACACAGCAATTTGTTTTTTTTGATCCTTTGAATCTAAGTCAGTCGCAGTCATAAATAAGTCAAATCGTTGTTCAAATTTTTTCCAATTATCGGCAAGATTGCCTTGTATGTTTAACGCGTCCGGCGGCTTAAACAACGACTCCATCATTCTCCGGGGCTCAATCTAGTTTACCTGACACCATGTATTGAGAAAACACTCTTTAACTTGTTAAAGATGATTTATTAATCCAAACACAGGAATAATCACATGCTTATTACAACTAATGAGGTTAGGTTCCACTGGCCGCATTCCACAACCACCAACCTAACAACAGTCAACAGAGAACTTATATTATACAAACCTGATTCCTGTATTTTCAAACTTCAAACTTTTAATTATTTGGTCATAATTCCATTTTGCGGCAGTTATGATGAATACGGATGACAAACACGTCTCTTGTACCCCACCAGAGATCCAAGAGATTGCCAATGAAGCGACGTTAAATTTACTGCCTGTAAAATCGAAAGTAAAGTACGAGGAGTACAAAATGTTTGAAAACTGGCTGGCCGAGAAGGGAGTTCAAAAAGTACGCAAGAAAGTACTGCTGGCATATTTTACTACGCTAAGTAAAAATAAAAAAAGTTCTACCCCTTGGAGTATATATTCAAAATTAATCGGAATTAATACAATCGGTCAAGTTCCTCGTACGTGATTTACACTTTACAGGTTATGTTTAGTTTTGATTTGACGGATACCGTTGACGGCAAAAAAGCGAGGGGTATCAATCCAACAAAATAAAAAAAAATAATACGTTTCTATTTCTTTCAGCATCATTTCTGTCTAGAAACTCACGCAAACTGGGCCAATCAAGAACGGTTTCCGTATTGTTTCCACATCGAAATAGAAAAAAACTATTACCTGGCGTATAATGTACAATATTTTATTTGTTACTCATTTGTAAACGTAGATAATTAGTTCTTAAATTAATCTTGAAGAAATATCTAAAATATCATGTTATCCATGTAACAGAGACTTCGCATTAATTCTGGCCAATGAAATTACTAGATTACTAACTTGTAAAATTTTTACAGGTCTGCTGTCAGTTTTACAAGTCAGTAGCGTTTAAACATGACGTTTACCCGTTTGCGTTTTGTCTTGTTAATCAACGTTTACAACTGAGTAACAAATAAAAGTTTTATTGACTGGGCTAGTCCCGCTTAGTCGAACATGAGGGCGCTGGCTAGACCCGGCCTCACTTGCGCAGGGATTCGCTAAAAGCGTGCGGCGTGTTCTCGTTGTTACCTTTTGTTTTTGTTATCAATTATGGTATCCTTCCTATGTGAAAGGCTCTTCTGAGAGGCCAACTCCTAGCGTTTTCATACAATACTGACATGTCATGACCAGAGCAGCTAAAGACTCCTCGGTGTGGGATTTGGACTGGCCATCCAATATCCAAACTTATTATGTGAATTTATTATAATGTTCATTAATGATTGTTTTTTGTTATGTGTGTGAAATATTGTTTCTTTAGGAATTCCAGTGGAGCCTGTGATTCGACATTATATAAATTTACTTGACAACCCTTATAATATGCATTCATGCCATTACCAACAACTAATTTTGCTATAAAGTTCAATATTAATTTGTTGACTGGTTTTTTTCTTGGTCAGTTCTTTTTTTCCCCAGCCTATTGTTATATTTGTACTCGGTGAACAACCATATATTTTCTAAATTTAACCTTGCAATGCGTATTATTTTGATTAATCTCCGTTTTTAAAGCATGTACTCGTTTTATTTGTATTCCATACTTGATCCTCAGTCCGACAAGCAACACATATCTTGTAGCGACTCTTAAAAACACAACGTAGTAAGTGGTCCTATTATTTTGTTATTCAGGTTAGGTAGCTTTGTCTAGACCTACGAGTAAAAAATAAGGTCTAGACGATCATGTGCCATGGGGTTCAGTGAGTTTGGGAGGGAATGTTTTGAATTTAAATCTTGAGTTGCGCAGTCTCTCGGGGCTGGCCTGGGTACGGCACATTTCAAACAGAACAAACAAAATAAATGTTGAGAAAAAACCAACCTGTTATCGGAACTTGAAATCACTGTTCTTCGACATCTGCAAAGAACGGTCAAAGTCGAAGACTACTCGATCCGTATGGTCACAGATTAACTAATCTTTGGTATGGTCAATTAGCTCGATTAAAATACTGTTTTCCTTGAAATTTAAGATTTTAACGCGTTATCTTAAACCATCTCCACATTTTCATAAAGCCGCATGCACAATCTTTAAGCAGTTATCCACGTAAAGCAAACAAGCAATAAGTTTGCACATTTATCTGGCACTTATAATGAAACCAAAAATGAAACATTTGTGGCGTGATCGAGCTTTCCCATAAACATAAAAAATACAAACTATAAAATTATGTGACTAAACTGGAAGCGGCCATTTATTAATGAGTAGATCATATGTGTGATAAAAATGAACGTTTCATGTAAATGGTAGCCCTACCTAAGTGATTTATGGCCGTTTGCACCGACGAATTTAAGCGTAGCTTAGCTTAAGCGTAGCTTAAAATCCATGGCAACGATTATTGAGACAATGGTTGCCATGGATTTTAAGCTACGCTTAAGCTAAGCTACGCTTAAATTTGTCGGTGCAAACGGCCATTACTTCCTTACTGAAAATACTATACTACCAAGTATCAGGTTCAAGCGCCATTACGTACGACATGATGCTCATTGGGGCGTATCAGTTCGAGTGGTTACTTTTTGTGCAAATAATTAGAATCATGTTCAAGTTTTATTTACAAATTATAGGTTTAACAGTTAAATGTACAAAGTGAATGGCATGATAGGATCATATGTATATAAACAATTTGAAAATTAGATGAACTTTTTACAATTTTACGTATTAACAATTATATTACTAAAACTAAAATAATTTAATAACAAGTGGCACTGAAGTTAAGGCACTAAAATGTCCCGCTAGCGTAAAAATTAATAAATTAGTCTGTTAATCACATTTTCGTTTAGTCGTTGTATTATGCGTTATTTTAATCTGTATCACTAAAATATTTCTTTGTTAGCGAAAAAGAGAGCAAAATAAAACAAATTGTCATAATAGCACCGAAAACGACTACTACAATTACGTATTTGTACACACACACATAAATAAATCACTTGCAACAACAACTTCTAGTCTTCGTGTTTCGGTATTTAAACTAGAGCGCTTCGTCGCCATGTTGGAAATGTCCATTTCTATTTAATGGCTGTCGTTCTGGGGCATCGGACGGTCTGCTTCTGTTGAAGAATCCGCACTAAAATGAAAACAGAATCAATGACCACAAAAAATAATAGGTCGCTTGTGGTTTACTTTGTATAGTAAAAATATCAACAGAAGTAGGATTAAGGTTCCTGCGACTGCGGATAGAATCACCACCCACAAGGGAACCATGTCTGGTTTAATATCGGGCGTTGGAGGCATCACGGTAGTTATCGCCTGGTGTCGATAGAGTTTCCTCTTCTCGGGAACGCCGAGGATTTCTTCAAATTGACTTATTCTCGCTAGGAGCATGGACTGAATCTTCACCGTTTGTGTAGTACTCAACTGAAATAGTAGGTAAGTAGAAAAAATGTAAGTAGATCATTCTATTACATCCAAGGGAGACATGTTACCACAAAAGGAAGCAATTTTCTGGTAACGTATCCTCATACAGAATCAACAGTAAATACAGGGTGTTTACAGTCTTCTCTGTATCCTTTTAAGGGACGGCAATACAGCTCAAAAGGAGTCGACAAACCATAAACACCTTAGTAAAAAATAATTTAAGTGGACAAATGCTGATTATGTAGTAGATTACTGGATTTGTACACAGATTATCTGGCTTATTAAATAACTTTTACTAAGGTGTTTTGGGGTTTGTCGACCCCTTTTGAGCTGCACTGCCGCCCCTTAAAAGGATACAGAGAAGACCGTAAACACCCTGTATAGCCATATCGATAAACCTTACCTGTGTCAGTGTGTGAACATTAACTCTTGCGCGCAGCGCTATGTGGACCTCATTTCCATTATGCAAGGCTCCAGTTGTACATCTAATGATACTACAATTGCTAGTTTTACATTCGCTCAACCTTTTGATATCAATCGTAGTAGGGTCCTCCTCTCTCTTCGTTCTACTGTGTCGAATATTCTGTCCTCGTAAATAGTTATAGTTCGGATTCGTTTCAGAAGTTCGATACGATTCGAAACGCCTTCTCGCCTGGTTATCAAAGCTGTTGTCAACATTGCCACTATGACCGCGGCCAAGATCAACTCCGGCATTAACGTACCCCCTTCGCTTGGCATATGTGCCCAAATCTTGTAATGATTCTAAGGGTGGGCTGCGGAAGGTTTGGTTGTTGTAAGGCGAGCTGTAATTATTGTAGCGGTTTACGTTGAAGTCTGTGAAATGTTGAGTGTTGCCGCCAAACGTATGACCCGGATAGGGAGTATCGACATGCGTAACAGATCCTTCATTGTGATGCGTGACGGAACTTTTTAAAACACCACCGAAGGTGTTTGCCACCTGATTTAATTTTTGAAGTAGTTCATTTCCGGGTGCACCCTCGATAGTGTCTTGGTGCAGTTGTGTTCCGTCAGGTGCGTAGAACGTAATACTTGTCCTCGCCCTTGAGCTTGTGGTATCACCTTCCCTTTGGATTGTTGATCGTGGCTCGGTCAGAACTTGCTGGTGTGGTTGCCCACTGTCTGACATTAGAGTAACCGTTTTCGTCGAATTGGTGTAGATCGTGATCGATCCCGGAAACCTGGCGATGATGCCCGAGATGTAATCATTATAGGCTGCCGAACCAGTACCACCGTTAATTGTATGCTGATCCAATATCGTTCGACGATCAGGCCCATACACGGTGAAAGTTGTTTTTATTTCCGTATGGCTTGGACCTTGATCGACAGGTACAAAGATGTTATCGGTGAAAAGTACTCTACCGTCAGTGCTGCGGTACGTTAAGGTCTTAGTGGTGTTAGTTTCCATTGTGAAAGTACCCCCGAAGTGAGTTCTACTGAAACTGTCCAGGTAATTTTTTCGGTCGGCCGGTGTCAGTTCTCCCCTCACGGTTTGTTGGTTTAGCACCTCTCTATTGGGTCCATAAAAGGTGATCACATTGACGACGTCTGTGTGAGATGTGAAAGGTGCTTCGTAAATACCGGCGTTACCTGGAACAGTTTCCTGACGAATTTCTCTGTTTCCGCTGTAATACGTAATAACTTTAGTTATGGTCGTATGAATCTTCAACGCGATTAGGGGATATCTAGTAATGGTGTTTTTAATACTATGCCAGTATGCCGTTGAACCTGGTTCGTCCCGTATGGTTTCCTGGTGTAATAAGTTTCCGCTGGGATCGTAGAAGGTAACAGTGGTAATTGTTGTTGTCTGCGTCTGCGTTGTGTCCGGACGCGAGGGCGTACGATAATCTGTGTGTTGTTGAAGTATACTTCCTACGTGTACCGTCCCACCACGTGCGTTTCTGTAGTAGATCGTGATGGTGGTGTTAGTATGTATGCTACCATAGTCGGGATGCTGCTGCTTTAGTGCGGACAAATAGTTAAGATAGGCGGGTGAGGTGCGATCTTCAGCAATAGTCCTTTGAGTGAGAATATTACCAGCTGGGCCGTAACACGTAATAACAGTCGATCTCTGTAACTCTGGGTGAATCGGTTCAGCTATTGGACCGGGAATTTGTTCGCTTCGAATTTCTTTGCCGTTAACATAGTAAGTGATCACCTTTTTGGTATCTGTCTGAATCGTAATTACCTCGTGATGCTTTACTACTACATTATTAATCTGTTCCCAATAAATTGGCGAATCGGGTGCATCCATTATTGTTACCTGTTCTAGCAAGTGACCACTTTGACTGAATATTTTTACTATGGTAACTGTACTAATCCGGCTAGTTTCCCCAGACTGCTGATTATATTGTTGGGTTCTAGATTCGTAGACGTAACCGGTATATATTAATCTATGATCAGAGCCGAAGTACTTAATTGTTGTGGTGATGTTTGTATTTACTGAAATGGGGAAGCTGTATTGATTTCTCAGTGAATTGATTAAGTCATTATAGGCAGGCGTTTGAGCATTGCCCGATAGCGTAGTTCTGTACAGTTCCTGGCCATCATTCGCATGACAAACAACCGTTGTTACCGAATCACTTTGTGTTGTGAATGGTTGATTGGTATCTCCAGTTGGCACGTTTTCCCGACGCATCTCGACACCATTGGAATAATAAACTAGTACTTTCGTAGTGGTCACTCTCATTGTGATCGGTATTGTATATTTGCTAATTACTTTATTTATTTCCTGCCAGTAGGCCTCCGTTCCTGGTTCTTCTCTAATAATCTCTCTTTGAAGAAGATTACGGTTCTCATCATAGAATGTGATCACAGTTTCTGTGATCGTTCGTACAGTTTCGTTTAGATTATGATTATAATTTTCGGTTGTTTCGTGATGCGTGGTTTCAGTGTGAATCACCGTTCCATAGCTGTTCATGAACCTTATGTTCTTATTTACCGTGGTTTTTACTGCGATGGGTTGGTGGTAGGTATTTTTAATTGTAGAGATTGCGTTTCTATACTCGGTCGTTTGAGTATCTCCCGGTATTGTTATCGTGTAAAGCTGTTTGCCATTCCGATCATGACACACTATCGTACTGGTCGACTCGATCCTAATCGAAGCAGGTATCCTGGAAGCATCGCCGACGTAAGGTTTGTCGTCTCGACGTGTTTCTATTCCGTTAATGTAATACGTTGTTACACTGGAGGTGGCGATCCGAACAGTAACGGGGGTTGCGTGGTGGCCGATTATTTTAGTAAACGCTTCCCAGTACTCCCTAGTTCCCGGTTCGTAGGGCAACGATTCTTGCGTAACCAAACGATTGTTGACATCATAAACCGAAACTGTTGTAACCGTAGACGTACGGCTAGTTTCAAGGGTAGCAGGGGCGAAGTGTTCCTGTTTCACCTCGGTTACAAAACCGGTTGAAACAGGCTGCCCTCTACTGTCACGGTATGTAATTGTCTTTGTAACATTCGTGATAATCGTCATAGGTTGTCTATACTGCGCCTTCACGCCATTTATCACATCCCTATAGGCAGTCGTCGAAGAGTCACCGGGCAAAGAGACTTGGTGAATTACGGCATTATTTGCATCTTTGCACGTCACGCTCGTTACCACATTCGTATTGACAGTTAACGGAACTTCGTTGACGCCTGGGTGTAAAGGCTTCTCCTCAGTTTTTATTTCAATCCCGTTCAAGTAGTACGTAACACGCTGCGTTGTCGAAGTCTTTACTGTAACTGGCTGCGTGTAGGTCGCTATAATTTGATTAACTCGGTTCCAATACTCTCGTGATTCTGGCTCTTCCGTTATAACCTCCTGGTGCAATTGCAACCCGTTCATTCCATAGATGGTCAAAACAGTCGCAGTGGTTATCTTAAACGTTTCGCCCGAATGTTGATTGTAACTCTGGGTTTTCGCCTCAAACGCGGTATTCGTGAGAATCTCGTTTCCTAACGTATCCAAGTAATGGGTTATTCTCGTCACATTGGTCGTGATTATAATCGGTTGGGTATAAGTCGAAGTTAAAGTACTAATTAGATCTTTGTAAGCAGCCGAGTTGGAATCTCCGGGTAGTTGTGAAGAGTATAGTGTTGCACCATCCTGAGCGTTACGGCAGCTAATAGAGGTAGTAGTCTCAGTTCGAGTTGTAAACGGTACGTTTTCATGGTTCACTTCCTTTCCATTAAGAATATATTTTATAGTTTTAATATGCGTGGTGCTTACAGTAACAGGCGGTTTATGTTTAGAAATAATTTGGTTTATAGTCTCCCAATACGCCTGCGTGCCAGGATTCTCTGTAACAATTTCTGTGCCCACAGGCCTTCCGTGCGAATCATGAACTGTAACAGTTGTAACAATCGTCGTTACGGTTTCCGGTTGACTCTGATTATAATGTTCAGTTTTTTCGGAGTAGACGTACCCATTCTGAAGTATCTGCCCATTCTCAGTACGGTAAGTAATGAATCTTGTAGTATTCGTCTTAATGATTAAAGGTTGAGGGAACTGAAGGGTCAATCTGGAAATCAGTTCGCGATACTGTTTAGAATCCGAATCGCTCGGTATTGCAGTTTGATAGAGTTGGTTACCGTTCATATCACGAATGGTTACCGTTGTGGTGTCGGTATGACTTATGAATTTCTTTTCCACGGTCCCGCTGGTAACCTCAACATCGGTCGGTTTTCCGTTAACGTAATACGTAATGGTCTTCACATGTTGCGTCCCGATGGTCCCTGGCACCTTGTATTTACTAACAATCTTATTCAATTCCTCCCAGTAAGCCGGCGTACCAGGTTCCTGCTTAATATTTTCGTGATGAATCTCCTTACCGTACGAGTCATAGATAGTAATTTTAGTTGTGGTAACCGCATTCTGCAGCAGGTCTTGGTGGTACTTATCGATCTTCTCCTTGTACATGTATCCCGTGTGAATAATTTTCCCCGCAGATCCACGATACGTCACAGCAGTAGTCGTATTTGTTTTTATAGTTATCGGCTGCTTGTATTGTTTCACCATCTTATTAACAATTTTCTGATACTCAGTGGTACCGGATTCTCCTGGAATACTACCTTGATCCAAAACTTGCCCATCAACCCCGAAGCAAGTTATGGTCGTAATTACGTCAATATACGATCTAAATGGAGCTTCTAACGTTGTGCTTGACCCGCTCACTTCTTCCTTTCGAATTTCAACTCCATTGATATAGTAGGTGGTAATTTTACCTTTGAAGATACGAATGGTGACAGGATCGGGGTACTTTCCAACTAACGCATTGATTTGCTCCCAGTATGCTTCCGTGCCCGGTTCCGCAGTTACCGTGTGCGCTTCAAGCTTGTTACCATTCGCATCGTATAGTACGACGTTAATTATTGTACTTATCTTCGACGTCTCCACGCTCGTCGATTCTCCAGTACCTACTTTCGAGACAAACTCCTGGTACAGAACCTTGCCATCCGAAGTGACATAGGACGTCTCTCTTGTAGTATTAGTGCGAATTGAAAGCGGGAACGTGTAACGATCGGTTGTACTTCGAACTCTTTTAGTAAAAGACTCCGATCCCGGTTCCTCAGATATTATTTCTTCATAAAGGATATTTCCCAAAGAGTCCGAGTACGCGACTAAGGTTGTGGTGTTTGAACGGACTCGATAAGATCCATACGGAATTTCGGGTATTCCCGGCCGATTCGAAGGGTGCGAAATAACCGTACCGTTCTCGTATTTCACATGAATCGTAGTATTAACCGCTACGACCAATGGACCGGGGTGCGAATTGACGAACTTTGCAACCTGTTGCCAGTATTCTTCATAGCTGGGTTCTCTAATTAATTTTTCTCGATGAATAACTTTGTTGAGTTCGTCGAAAAATATTAGCTCTGTTTCAGTCGTGGTGATCGTGTTACCAGCTTGCCCTGATATGATCACGGTTTTATTGTGCTGAACGTGAGGGGTTGCGTTATGGTGCAGATATTCGGGAGTTATTTCTAATATTTCCCACACCTCCCTTTGGCCCGCTAACTGTAACCGCATAGAAGATAATTAGTTACTGCGTAGTGTTCCAAAAAATAACTTACTGTGTAACCATTATAGTTCGCCCCTACTATCTCACACTGAACATTTCCGAGAGTGTGTGGTTCTTCTAATAAGTACAATAAATCTTTACCTGTAAACAAATTAACGTAATTAATTTAATTTAAGTAATTATAAAAGACCATATTAATTAAAACCGTTTAGATAATTCATTTTTAACTCTGTTAATTAATGTGATAGGTATCAGGATTTTCATGTGTATTATTCCCAATTACATAATATAACCAATCCGCAACATCGTATACAAACGGACACAAAAGTTAACGATGAATAATTTTAATTTTTCAAATTTTAATGAATTTTTCAAAATGTTCGGCTCCCTTTTTTAGTCGTTTATGTGCAAACTTAGTGACATTTTATTCTAAATTTTGCGAATGTCAATTTTCGGAATTGCTAATTTCCTTGAATTTTTCTAAAATTAATTTTTTATTTATATCGAAGGGTATAGTTGGTATAGTTGTGTTCTCTCTTTTGAGTACCTACACTCTCTAGAAATATGTTGAATTTTTAAATTTTTTCCAATTCATAAATTTTTCATTTTTTGTGTCCACTAAAATTTTGTTCTGAAATGTATGCATTTTCTGCAATTCTTATGAAATTTTTGAATTTTTGAATTTTCAAATTTTCTTTCCTACTTTTTCTCCCAATTGGATTCCCACTCGGCAAATACCACATTCAATTTTTCTGCATTTTAAACAATTCTCCAATTTGAATTTTACACATTTTTCTGCATTTACAAATTTTATTTAGTATTTGAAAGATATTCTTGAAATTCACAATTCTTGAATTTCTTAAATTTTCACATGCAATAAATTATTTATTATTATTCATAATTTTTTTCTGAACTCTTCTCGATTTGAATTTTTGTGTGCACCTCGTTCTACATTTGTTCCGTCTTCAAAAATAATTTAATTGACTTTTTAGTTTTAGTTTTCCATTTCTTAAATTTTAGGAATTTTGCTAATTTTCTAAATTTGAATTTTTATGGTTTTTTCGGTATCTAACTTTATTATTGTTCCCCGTAAGAAAAATATCTTTGAAGTATTAGGAAGTTTCTTCTAATTTATTTTATTTAAATTTCGATTTTAAATTTTCGAAAGTGGAATTTCCACTTGGAGGAGACAACTTTAAATTCTCCCGAATCAATTTACATTTTTACACCTGAAATTTATTATATTCCAGTATTTTGCAATGTTGTTGTATCGTCTGAATTTACGTATGTGTTTCTTGGCATAAAGATTATTGAACCTTTTTCGCAAATTGTTATTGAAGACGTTTTGACCATCGCGTACTGCAAATTTCTCAAAAAAAAATAACTCAAATTACCTTGCGCTGCTAGATGTGGCCAAATGATGAAGATTTCCACATTTTGAACATCGGAAGGCCCAGCATTCGTAACCGTGTAGGAATGTATAACTGATGGTCCAATTTCACTATCCCAAACCTTTGCTTCTGACGGATATTGGTTCAAATTATAATAAACGGTAGACGGCACCGATTTGCTTTAAAAAACACAAAAATTAACCACAAACAACTCCGTTTTGCAATTCTCACCCTTCAAGAGAAAGTTCAGCATTTACTATGATTTTAATCGAAAATTGAACCACGTTATCCTGCATTGTGTGGTTATACTCCGGATTAGCACTTGTAACGTTCATTAGGAAATCGTAAGAGGGGCTTAACAGTTTGTGATATCTTAAGGGCTCTACTTCCAGTTTAAAGTTGAACTGAAAAGAGCAACTTTTAATTTAATCTTCCCGGGTAATTTTGATACTTACCACTTTGGATAAGGGATTTCCGATATCGCAAACGAATACTGAGGCGTTAAACGACGTACTACAAGACACTTTAGATTCTGGGTAATCCGTTCGTTTGGCAACTTTAAAACCAATTCCTGGAGGTAGATGCAGGAAGAATTTGGCGTTGTAAGCATCTTCGGCGTGGTTGGTAACTTCCACAATAAACTCTAGAGATTTTCCCAGCTCGTAAACGTACCCATCGATTTGCCTACAAATCACGTTAGTTGCACGAAAGCTTGTATGGATTACTCACTGATTGACGTGTAAGCGAAGATCAGGGTAGCAAATGTTGTCGGGGCCGCAATTTTTGTAAATGCTAATCGAATCATTTACCGAGGTTGGCTTCGATTCATCCAAAATCGGCACGAGAATGGATGTTGGATTACGTACCGTTTGCGAAAGTGCCTCTGAACTTTTCAGTGAGTATTTCACTTCGACCATTAGCTCAGTGAGTTTGTCAATTATTTGCTCCTGAAACATGACAAAAATATATTGGTGGTGATTCCCAAGATACATGATGGGCATTTGTTTTTGTTTCATTGATTACAAGTTCAATTGGCGGATATTTAAAAAAAGGACAGAAATGAAATGCCCATAGCACAGTTGAAGAGCTCTAATCCAAAATTTCATATAGATACTTAACATTTTTGCTAATAGCAATTTAGACAAAGAAATGCAACAGATTTCTGTGGGATTCAGGTAATTTCTCACCCCTGGGAAGATTTCGCCACTGCTGAAATACTCGCACACTTGAATCCGTTCCGTAGACAAATTCACGTTCAGGAAAACACGATTCAGAAGACTTAACACTTCGCCATAAATCCGACTGCAAGAACTTTCTACAGGGAAATCTGGCCTGTGTGGCGCAGTTCAGTTGAAGCTGGACTGTGGTATTAAGGGGCACTGGTTCGAATCCGGGTTCGGGTATGTATATTTGTAAATGTATAGTGGGTTGGGTTGACAAAGCAACCTTGGCTGAAATCCCGCCCACAAAAAGTAAAGGCAAAAATGAATAAATAATTCATATTCTTCGGCTTTTAGAAAAATTTCCTCCAAAATTTTCGTTACCGGATAAAATTCGCCCAAGTCGTACTCAATAGGATCTTACTTTTTGCAAGAAAATTCCAATCAACTGGCCCTTCTGGTGCATCATTCTAAAACCTAGTTCCATTACTGCCCAGGTAAAGTTTCTACCTACCGAAGTTGTCACCACCGTAGAAAATTTGTCGCTGTCGCAAAAAAAATCACGTTCAAGACAGATCGATCCAAAGGCCCACCCTTGAAAAAACCACCCATAGGTCACTTTTCGAAACTGTAGACAAATCGTAAGGGGCCCATAAATAAGCTCTTATGCAATCATAAAACTCCTTAAGAGTCTTAAGGGCTCTTCAAGATTCAGCTTCCAAACACTCTCAAAGATTAATAGTCTTAAAGGCTCTTGGAGACTCAAAAACTGTTGGAGATTCTTACAGATTAAGAAATACTTTTAAATTCTCTCCTCTTTAGAAGGTTCTTAAGGTTTTTAAGTAACCTTGAACACTAAAAAATTCCCAGAGACTCACAAAATCTCTTCAAGGGCTTTTAAAAAGAGGCGCGAAACGTAAGAACTCTAGAAGGAATTTGAAAACTTTTTGAAACACATGATTAGTAAATACCTTTAAAGACTTGACTTTTGAAGGCTTTAAAAAATGTTTGTTTGCCTTTTTGAAATCCCAAATATCCCTAAAGACCTTTCAAGATTCTGAAACACTTTAAAATGCCACAAAGGCTCTTAAAAGCTTTTAAAGAGAGAATCTTAAAGACTCTCACTCTTTTGTAGACACGCCAGCTTCACTCGACTTCATCATACTCTCTCCTCACCCTATGATCATTACCTTCTTTTCTGATATTTTTCATCAATGTTCCTCAATTATTTTTTTTATTAATTATTTTCCCTTCATTTGCATTAATTTTTTTGCCGACGAAGGTGTGGGGGCAGTCCAGTTCCTATTTTTGGGACCTTCAATCAGTATGTATTTGATATACGTTTTTTATAATTGACTAACGACTCATTCTCACCCATTAGATCTGCACTCGAACACCCCTCCCTTCGAGTTCTCCATTTTACGTTCATGTTGTTCCCGTTCTTTTTTGCCTCCTTCTCAATTTTCTGCTCTCTTCATCTACAACAAATCCATCTTGCCAACTTTGTGTTGCTATTTTACCCTATTTTCTCTCTTCCCACTCTTCTAACTTTTCATCAAACGCTATATCCACTTTGTTTCTTCCCCTCATCTCCGTTCTTGCTGTTTCTTCCCGTATGCATCTTTCGCACTCTCGATAAAACTGCTTGCGTTCTTCATCCTTTATGTCCTGCAGTTCTTGACGTCTGCACTTTTGCTCTCTTTATAATTCTGTAACATAAGTATCATTCTCCTCAACGTTGGATAATAATAATAATAATAATATTTATTATACCGTTATCCGTGTGGGTACACTTACGGTCGTCATTGGAAAAAAAAATATTACAAACAAAATACAAAGATACATTCAGAGACTAACTAACAGAAGAGGATAACAGAGTACAATTTTACATATTATATCGCATAACAGTTTTTCATGAACTCTTCCTGACAATAAAAAGCATGTTTTGAAAGAAATGTTTTGAGGCGTGACTTAAGAGCTCCAATGGGCATAGATATATATTATTAGGAAGGCTGTTGTAAAGAAGTTGAGATTGGTGGACTACACCATCCTGTGTTTTTGACAACCTGCAGTACTTAGTTCGAATGTTATGCTTAAGCCTAGTATCGTGATCGTGTACGTTACATTGTTTTTTTGCCATTGATAAGTTCTGCTTAGCATAACAAATCGCTTCGAAAATGAACATGCAAGGAAAAGTAAGAATGTTCAGTTCAATAAAAGCCTTCTTGCAATCCTCCCTGTATTTCAACCCAGCTATAATTCTGATGGCTCGGCGCTGCAATCTAAACATGCATCGCCAATGTGAAGTACGTCCCCATGCTAATATTGCGTATAAGAGGATGCTTTGGATGAGAGCATAGTATGCTGTTTTGACAATCCTTGTTGATGTACTATTCCGCAATCGTAACATTAAAAAAATAGCTGTATTAATTTTTTTTGTTAGATGATCACAGTAGTAATTAAAATTTAATTTACTGTCTATCGTACAGCCCAATAATGACATTTTATTGGTAACAAGGACCTCAATTCCTCTTTTCAGGGTTAGCGGCATGATCACTGTCTTATCCGTATTGAGCATCAGGTTATTATAAGTGCACCATTTTGTAACATGTTCAATGCTAAGTTGAATTTGACGTTTCGCATAGTTGATATCAGGGCTGCTACACATCAAAGTAGCGTCGTCAGCATACAGTATGCACCCAACATCAGCGGGTAGGGTCAAGGGCATGTCATTAATATAGGTAAGAAACAATATGGGGCCAAGGATTGACCCTTGCGGCACACCATGTTTTATTGGCAGTCTATCAGATAGGGAGTGGCCGTAACGTACGCATTGGTACCTATCGGTGACATATGATTTAACCAGCTGTGCACTGGTGTTGCCAAATTTGTAGGCTTCCTTGAGCTTGCTCAATAAGATTTTATGAGACACAATCAAAAGCCTTGGAGAGATCCACAAAGGCAGCAACCATGTGACGACCATCCTCAAAACATTCTAGTGCATTGTTGATAAAGGTAATAACTGCATCTGAAGTGCTTTTTCCCTTCCTAAAACCATATTGATGCCGATAGAACAGATTGTTTGTTTCAAAAAAGCTTATAAGCTGTTTGTATAAGATCTTCTCTATGACTTTACTGTCATTTTCTTTACCTCTCATGTCTTCTTTTGCCTCTCTTTTGCGGTTTTTGAATGACTTTTGACATTCTTTTTCCTCTAGTTTTGCTTGTTTTCACCTATTACATGTTTGCGATTTTTATAATTCTACATAGAATTTCTTTCGCCAACTTTGTCGGCGCTCCCCACATTTTCTTTTCCCATTTCCCCTTCTTCTATTGCTTTTCGTTTGCGTTTTTAGACCCCTTTCTCCGTTCGTTTTTCCATTCTGTTGCTTTCACTTTAAAATTATCAAAATCCTGTCATTTATTCCTCTATTTCTGATGATTTTCCTTAGCTGCAATGCTGTCACGTCCATATTACTTTAACGAACCCTTCCCGGTAACTTTGGTTTTCAGTAACTACCATTTCTTATGTTGCTCTCTGTTTGCCACTTTCGTACTCTTTATCAAACTCCTGCTGGTCTTCTTCCTATGTTTTTGCTTGCAATCCTACTCTATATATCCCCCCACCTTCTTATAATTCTCGCCAACTTTGTGCACATTCCTTTTCCCATTTCTTGATCTTCTGCATCGTTCTGTGGAACTTATAATTCGATAACGACTCCTTCGCGCCCACTTGCGTACTGTTTCCTTCTCTTTCTACGTTCATTTTATTTTCGTTTTTTCTGTTTTTCGTCTTCTTCATCTTTTTCAGTTTTGCGACTGTTATGGCAAATTCTTCTTTTCTACTTTGCTTTTACGTCGCCCGTGTATAATATTTTTTTCTTCATCTTATTATCCTTTTTAGCGCATTTTTTAAGAGTTAAAAAAAATGTGCTATTGTTTGCGTTTGGTCTGTCCGTTTGGACCCACTTCTGCCGTTTCGAACGACTTCTAGGGGAATGGTCCTAGAGTCCTGGAATTTTTTGCAGTAGGTAGCCTATACCTTGAAGGTGTGCCAGACGGCCACCAAATTTCGCTGTCTAAAGGGGGGGGCCACGAATTATTTCCTGAGCTGCTGTTTTTCAAAGTAAAACGTGCATAACTTTTACATACGACACCCAATTGGTCTGAAATTTTGCATACGCATGCCTTTAGTGGTGCCAAGTTAAACTTTAGAAAATAGTGGGGGGGGGGGGGTAAAACACATGTTCTACCCTTCATGGTATTCTAATGAAAGGTCCCATCGAAATAAATTGGTTTGTACAAACTATAACTTTCCCGTGCGACTCTTTTTCGTGATCAGTGAGCGACGGGGCCTGGGGGGGGGGGGGTTAAAAATTAATTTGATCTCTCATTGTATTCTAATTAAAGGTCTCAACGAAAGCAACCGTTTTCTACCAACTACTGCCCTTCTTTCTGTCCTGTTATCAAAGTACGGGGTGGAGGGGAGGGGAGAGAAGTGGAACATGCTACTCTAATGAAAGGTCTCAACGGAAGGAATTAATTTCTACCAACCATAACCCTCCTTCTCGACCTCTTATCGACTATCGTGATCGGGTATATTCCCTTATACCCCAAGAACGTATTGTCGGGAGAGAGTACTCACAAAGGGCGATTGAAACGTCTGCAAGAAATATATCCATTGGTGATGTCAAAACAAAAGCTATTTCGGTTAAAAAAAATGCGCTTGATCTGCACGCTTGTGCACAATTTATACCCGTTTCTGTTGTTTTCCGTTTGCGGTTTTCCGTTCGCCAAAATCCACCACTCTACTGGCTTTCTTGTTCTGCATTCTCCTTTCTCCCCTTCCGCGTCCTTCATCATCTGTGTACATACTGTTACTGTAACTCTAATGAAATCTGTCAATCCCGTTTCCGTTTGCCGAAGTACTCCACCACTTCTCTCCTCCTTATTTTCCTCTCTTACTTCCCTTTCTCCTGTTTTCACATATAGTCTATAGTTCTTCCTTTTCTGGTATTTTAAAAGTTGTTTGTCGGTCTACATTTCACATCCATCACTGGCTTTAGGTGGGCTAATCGTAAATAAAGTAGTTTTCCGAGCATACGTCTTGGGCCGCCTTCCGAGATCGTCTTGGGGAAACGATGACGAATCTTCCATAGTTTATCGAAGACGTAGAGGATCCCGAAGGGGCAGCCGGCGAGTTTGGAAAACTCGTGCAAGCTGCTTTACGAGACGCTACGAGCTCGTTTCAAGAGTGCAGAGACCGGGGTTGGATCCGATACCGAATCAGGGAAAAGACGATCCAGAATGTGCTTCCATCGTTCACTGAATCCGTTCCACAAAGCGGGTTCCGAAGACTTCCCCATCCGCGAAATGAGTTCTGGGAGAACCGCCTGTGAGAAGAATCGCTCTTCCTGGAATATGGCGAGTGCGCCGGGTCGTACCCCACCGAGATCGTCCCAGCTGCACTGAAACGTCAGTTTTTTCTCAACTAAGAAAACAAGGATCTGTACTTTATGGACGCCATCAGCGACAACGAAGAAACGATGTATCCTACGGTGGAAAACGAAGTTTCCATCGCCATCAAAAGAACAAATCCAAAGAAAGCACCAGGACTAGACGACATTAGACTCGGCAAGAGTCCTTACCTCTATTCTGAAAATGCTAAGACTGCGACACTTTCCATCTCCACACCACTAAGCGTTTACCTACATTGAGTCTTTACGAAGGATGACAGGAATACCTGAATAATAGTAGCCTTGAATCAATCTGAAAACAGTAGGTACACCAGCTGAAATAACCAAAAGCTATTCAGCTATAGTCAAAGCTCCGTTGGATGGTAATAAGAAAGTTAGCTCATCGCCTAGACAGAGTGAACTTAAAAAAGGGAGGGAAGTGTATAAATACATAATGTAAGGACCTACTAAACAGATGATTTTTTTGACGATATTATACTCACTTCCAAGTAAATTTTGTCTTTCAAGTTGCAGTTAAATTCCGTGTCCTTGTATAGAATTAAAGTTGTGTTGACCGACTGTCCAGAAGCCCGTCCAAGGTACATTCGTGTTTGTTGCTTTAATTTCTTGGCATCTAGTATGTGTTCAATATTTAAATCTGCAACAGGAAATTCAGGTCACAGTTTTGATGTAAATTAGGTTACCTATTCGAGAGGGAACTCCAACTCCAGTATACCTCACGCACACCTCGATATCAGTACAGGTGACGCGTATGTTCGGATTGTTTGGCTTGTAACAGTCCTTTTGTTCTAGAAATAGTTGTTTGTGGGGGGTTAAAAACTTGACATACGCTTCGACTTTCACGACTGGTCTGGCTCTGAGAGTAGGCAACCAAAAGAATATTTGCGAATGTTTCGTTGTTGCAGTCTTACCTAAAGAAGTACGCGACATCTGATGAATAAGCGCCAATAGCCATATCAGGATAGTCGTTACCATCAAGATCGAGACCACCTGATATTGAAAACCCGAATGTATTAACAGGCTCGCGACCTACGTAACTTCTCTGTACATTCTCGGCGTAAATTACTTGGGAGTACTTCGTCACAGCACCATTCGGAGCTCCTTGAAAAATATAGACTGCGCCACGTTCAAATGGTCCATCATACGGTGCGCCCACAGCAAAGTCTGCAAGTAAAAGCTACAGATCAAGAAATAAAGAGCACGATCCGAACCTCCATAGCCGTCCAAATTCATATCACCTAGCGTGCTTAATGCCAATCCAAATCTTGATTTCGATTTAAATCCATCAAGGATAATCCTCCTCGAAAAGCTGCCCTATTTTTAATATTAATAAACACCAAGAATCCCCTTCACTGTACTTACACTTGGTCCCTGGCAGGCGATCTCCACGCGACCAACTTCATACTTATTCTCAGTATTTTTCTCGGTATGAAGAGGAGCCCCAATTAAAAGATCGTCACGTCCATCGCCATCAACATCGGAATTCGCCAACGCATAACCATAATAAGCCCCCAGCTGGGTTCCACTAATATTAAGATAATTCGTCAAATCCCACGTATACAGCAATATTCTTCCCTCCAAGCTTTCGCCACCTTTCGGCATACCAACCGCGACGCCTTGCGTACCGACGTTGTTAAAATCTCCGACAACCATCGAGTATCCCATATAGGAGTCGTCGTCCCGCGCCGGTCCCTCGGGCGTTGAAAAAACCGCGGGCCTCTTGTTCAAACTTTGCTGGAATACCTGTCCTGAAAGAACACGCAAATGAAAATTCGGCGGGAGGAAGTCCGGTTTACACCAACATTGCGATGCAATCACTGAAAGCTATTAGGCTATTATAACACGTGCAAAACAAGGCCAAATGAAATTAGCGGGCGTGAAATTCAAAATAACGAAAAAAATTGCGTGTTGGAAACGTGGCGGAGTGATATTCTTGAAGAATTAGTGCAAGTTGAGATATTTAGTTACTTAAGCAGTTATGCAGAGTTAATAAAACGTGTGATAGAGGAGGGAAATAAGTTCAGAATGTGCGTAGTTCCAAGACTCAATTTGGTATGCCTCTTGTTTCTGTTTAGCGCGAAGGAGGTACAGTCAGAAGAACTCTGGACTAAAGTGTGCTTACTGTGGGGATACCAACATGCCACTGGGCCCTAGTGGTTTTTACCTGTGAGAAGTAGCACGAATGCTTCACATGTTGCAAATTAAACCGTTTTTTTGCTACATTAAAAGTAATGTAATTGCGAGGGTAATTGCTATAGCCACCCTTAATTGCAATTTGGTCGTCAAGGTGCCGATATCTTTTATTAGATCATCATCCGTGGATCATTATTCAAGGGAAGGGAAGTTCACGACTCCAACCTCCTTTAGGATTGGATAAAGGGGGCGAAGTTTATGAGCTGAATGAATAAAGATGGCCGCTGAAACTAATTAGCCACCATTTTGTAGGTGTGATTGAAAAAATTGAGAAAGTAGGGATGAAGCAGAGGCAGATTTTTGGTATTATTAAGTGAGTATTTGCGAGGTGATACAGTCGGTAAGCGTGGCAGCGAAGTAGTACGGCTAAGATTTCGTTTTTGGTCGCGAAATCATTAGGCATAAATACCTGTTGTCCTTAAGAGCTTTGATTTAAAGTTTATGTTGGAGTAATAAGAAAAAAATCCTTAAAGGAATCGGTCATTGCTCAATTGTCTGACGGGGAAACATGCTCGAATTGTATAAATAAATTATGTTTGATTAAAACATCTATATTTTGAGTTTATCTTTGTTGTCTGCAGTCAAGTCAATTCAAATAAGAGAGCAGCGATTTTTATTTTCAGCATTAGAAGAAAGGACCTAATTTCCGTAAGGTGATTGCATTCGCTCTTATATTAAGCTAGCCGATGGTAACTTTTGGAAAAAATGCCTCATTACAGTAAAAAGTCAAAATTAAATAATACGATTAAGGGTTTAAAACCCCTCTGTTTTTCTTTGTAATTTTGTAAATCTATTTCGAAAGGAATTGCATTGTGACTATTTAAATGCTTTTGAAAGCTGGCGGCACCGGTGAAACTTGGGATGTGGCATGATTAGTTCAGATTACTGGAAGATTTTGTTTATTTTGCGGTCGTCATTGTCCAGGCTACGGTTTCGCATAATCCGCGGGAAATTACTGCACGCTGCGATCTAGGGCTGCCTAGCAATCTGAATATTTCTGTAAAACTCTTTTTGTCGATGAAAATGGTTTGCGTCACGAGTTGGGGACCAATTAAAAAAAATGAAGAAAAGTGGCGAGCGACTTTAGCGCATTTTCGAGGAATTGATCAGTACTTTCCGAAAAAACATCATGACGTCACGTACCGAACTATTTGTCTGTACAAAGGAAAATAAGTTCTGGCATAAACGTTCTTGTAAATAAAAAACTTAGCGTTAATCAGTCTGCGCATGCGCACACCTGATGTTTAAAATATGTGATATGTCTTCACTAAAAGAATCTTTGGTTAAAATTTCAAAAAATCTACGAGTATAAATAACAAAGTTGATATTGCGTAGCTTGGCCATGCGCAATCTGATTTTTACAGTATGATATACGCTTGTCTTTACTCGAAGGATCTTTGGTTAAACTTTCAAGAAAATATCTTTATAAATGTGGAGGTTGACATTGCTCAGTCTGCGCATGCGCATATTAATTGCCAACATTTTTCTGGGTTGAGGTGCCAAGCTATAAGCTACCGAATGCAAAAAGAACGAACTAAAAATATATACAAAACTGTAGTAGCTAAAGCCAAGGTCTCGGACGCACGGACGATCGACGAAAAGGACCTTAATAGCGGCAATCAACTTGAGTGGAAAATGCGCTAAAATTGAAAAGCATTGAAAAGTTGGTTATTCTGAGAGAACCGTCAAACAATGAGCGTTGAACCGTGAGCAAAGTTTGGTCGACCGTCTGTAATTTAGATCAGAGGGGTTTTATAGTCGGGGTGACACTCGAGGATTAGAGTGTTTTAAACTTGCAAAATTAAATTCTATCATCGTAATATTTCATGGTGAATTCTTGTACAAAACGTTGTAATTCTTCGCACGTCTGACGCGGACGATTGACGATTGCGCAAATAATATTTTTTATTATACCTGAATCACAATCTCCGTTTTAAACACTCAAATGCGTGCGAAAAAGGGCCTTTAAAACACACGTGCTTTAAAGTTGCTAAGTAACGATACTTCAAGTATGACTTTTGAAACTGTCATCTGGATGAAATAAAAATCCTCTTAGGTCGCTTTCTGTAAATGCAGAACATTTCTTTGGCTTTTGCACCTATCCTTTGGTTGAAGCTTTCACAAACGCGCGTAATTTAGGGTATGCTTCCAAATCTGTTCCACTTTTTAATCGCAGCATTGCTTTAAAGTTTTGAATCAATGCACCAAAATATAGAAGATTTAAATACCTTTGACATTTCCATCATATATGCCAGCATTATGGATGCATTTAAGACTGTATTCGTAAGTAACTTCCTATTCATCCATGGAAACAACTTTTCATATTCTTTATAATAGGCTTTGCTGGAGTTGGATTTTACTCCTACCAACGTTTGTTTAGATTTTACAACAATCGATTTAATGGACGGTTTTTCAACGGAAATCGTTTAATTCACAAAGACGATGATTTTTATAAGCAAACGTCAAGTGACATTTCCATGGCAATCGTGAAATTACGAGCACCCAGCCCACTTAATTAGACATGTATTCGAGTATAACGTCAATATGACTTCATTGTATTTCCTATTTTTAAATTATACTGCAGGTATAATAAAAAATACTATAAGATACACGTGTTTAATTGGTCTTTAAAGCACTTGCAACGTTAAAGGCACTCCGCTTTGCGTCGTGCCCTTAAACTCGTTGCGCGTGCTTTAAAGACTTGATTATACACTTGTATCTTAATATACTATTAGCGTCGAGTTTTAAACAAACCGGTTATGCTTTCTCCCAATCGTACGATCGCTCGCTCACTCACTCGATGGCAGCATGTCCATCGATTTAAAAGAGAACGGATAGACCGATTATTACGATGACATTTTGCAGGGGGATTCTTTATCAAATTTGTAGATCAGATTGGCAATGTAGGCCAAAAAATAAGGAAGGTCCTTTTGACATCTGCGTTAGTTATGAACCGAATTGCATGAAATTTTGTATGTAGGTACCTTGAATAAAAGTAAAACAAATTCCGAATCAAAAAATTTGTTTTGCGCATGCGCAATCCGATTTTTTAAAATTGTGATATTTAAATCAAATTTTGTATGTAGACACCTCGAATAAAAGTAGTTCTAGTATTCGGATATTAAAATAATGTTCTTATCAAAAAACAAGTCCCGCCAGGGCGCGGGTTCCCGTTCGAAATCTCAACGCTAACCAAGATGCCGCGAGCGGCATCCATTGAACCTAATGTGACGTTCGGTTCTAAAGAGGTCTGTAATGAGAGCGATCGGCTTCCAGGTGTTTTATATCACATTGACATTTACCGTCGGGTCGTAATTTTGCGTGACCGTATTTGAATTTTAAAATTAAAGGAGCCATTCATTACATGAGACCTAGGAATTTGTATCGATTTCAATTATTTGGATCAGTCTAGTAAACAATCAGTACTTCTTAGGCAAAGGGATATTGCTATTATTATTGCTTTAAAATCACGTTTGTATTCAAAGCAGTACCGTTTCTTTTACCCTTAAAAATATTTATAGATTAAATAGTAAGAAAGAACTGTTAAAGACTCGGCCAGTGACGTCGGAAGTATGGGTCAGAGGGGGCGAATCGCCTTCTCAGTTTTTACACAAGGGGGGCCGCGCCCCCTTTAAGAATGAGTGCCTAGATAAATCACTCAAAAGCGACTAACACATCTTTTACTGCATGTGCATGCAGAAATTACAAAAAGTGTAGAAGTAGAGGATATATTGAAAGAATTTGCCAGCAAAACTACAGAAAGGCGGAAAATTTGTTTATCCTTGCTTTTCTTTACAATGCTCAATAGTGCAATAAATAGGAACAAATTTTTTGTAACTTTTGTATGTTCCAGTTCTCCATTATTTTCTAAATAAAATATTAATGATCTATGGCTATGGTTTTCTCAATCGAGTCAAGTGTCTCTGACTTGCTCAGTTGCATATTACTAGACATCCTCCGACATTTTTTTAAATTTTTCTCAAAACTTTTCTTTCAAAAATACATTATTTGATTGATTAAATAAACATGTTTCAGGGTCACTTAAAAAACCCACTGTTTTGCATTAATTCGTACACAATTTTGCATAGGAGGGACCTTTCAGACTCCATGGTCTCCGATTTTTTTTTGCCCCCCCCCCAACCGTTATTCACTTCCACGTCGCTGGACTTGGCCATTTAAATGTGTGGACCCATCTAGAGAAGAGCCCTTTTCTTTAATTTATTTTAACAAGGATCCTCAAGCTTGTTTCATTTTTAGCGCATTTCCACAAAAATTAAAAAAAGGCGCTATTGTGACCACTTTGTCCGTCCGTCCCTCCGTCCGCTCGTTCGTTGAGACGCCACTAGTTCTTTATCTTAAGAGCTATTGTTCTACTTTTTTCGCTATTTGGTTCGTTATGGTGTTGAGGCTTGCACCAAGGAAGGAATTTTTTCTGCGTTTATTACTAAAAAAGTTATTGTAAAAAAACCAAAAAACCGTTTCTTACATGTTCCATAATTTTACACTTTTGCCGTTTATTAACGATCCTAGAGATCGTTTATAATTTTGTATTGCTGTCGTCGTCTGTCTGTTAGGCTGTCCGCCTGTTCCTTTGTCTGTCTGTCCCTCTATCTGTCCGTGTGAACGATAACTTTGTTTAGAAATGTCCGATCGCTTTGACATCTCCGTTAGTTATGAACTGAATTGCATGAAATTCAATATGGGCATAGCTTTAGCCATATAATACGCAATGCCAAAAGTTGAGTCGAATCGATTCAAAATTCACAGTGCCCTTTTAGCATCTCGACCATTTATAAACCGAATTGCAAACTTTTTTATTTATAAAAGTATTTGAATGAAATTTGATCATAGGCACTTGGAATAAATAAAAATCTAACGCCAGTATCAAAATTTGGTTTTGCGCATGCAGTGCCAACCATTTTATTTATGGAAGCATTTAAATGAAATTTGATACATAGGCGCTTGGAACAAAGGAAAATCTAACGTTAGTTTCAAAATTTAGATTTACGCATGCGCAGTTCCAACTTTCTTATTTAGAATAGCATTGAAATGAAATTCTTCTTATAAACAGAAATTGAAGTAGCACGTCAAAAATGGATTGCACATGTGCCACGCTATCTTTCATATTTGTGGTCGGATTTTTACGATTCTAACAGAAGTTGCAACTTACAAATGGGAAATGAATGCAAGTGGAAATGCGCTTTCTGTAAATCGTTTACGATTACTTTTTAACTTGTTATTTTTAAGATTGTAAATTGCAGGTAATCGGGATACAAACCATTGTCATTATAACAAAAGGAAATGCTAAAAGAAAATATTCTACGGACTCGGCAACAATTTTGGTTTACGTTTTAAGCTGGTGTCAAAGTGCAGTGTTTGGGTTTTAAAATTTTGTGTCACATTGTATATATATTGTTTCGTACTGTATAGGTACATTCAAATTTAGTTAGGTTGGTAATAATTAGGATTTATTATTCGCTATTAAAAACATTGAACGTTGTAGTGTAGTGTAGGGCGAAAATTAAGGAACCATCGTTATATACGATTTCATAAGCAGCCGGCTTGATAGTGATACTTCAAGAAACAAGAAACTCGTTATTTGACATCGAGGAATCAGGTGTCAAAGCACTTTCAATTTGCGTCGTAGATTTTGCCTCGCTGTTGACAGCTGCATCGTTCAGAGTTTGCGTCGTAGGAATCATCATCATCATCATCATCACATTCACCACATCATCTACGACCTTACAAATCATTATAAGTTTTAAGTTTGAAACCATACGGTAGAGATTTAAATTCATTTGGGTATTACCATAGAATAGGTACTTCAATGTACAGTGTGTTCAGAGATAAGTGTCCATTATTGCATTATTGCTGTATTTTTTTCCAAATTTAATACTATTTAAGCTAGTCGGAGCAACCCACAATCTAAACCATACACAAGTACAGTACAGCCAAAATAAGTTGATATACATGGAATAGTCGGAGGTGGGGAAATACAACAGTTTGTTTGATATCTTTGAAAATGTTATTAGGTTATTGCAATTTGAAAACTATGAATCTGCACATTATGCAACTTTCCCACGTGATTTGTTGGTACCCCCTGAGTGCCATAGAAGTGTAATGTTTGGATGCGGTTCATACAACTTGTTTTCACAGAACTATAAGACAAACTATATATTTACCCCTCACCATAAATTGGAGATGGAATCAATTTGGCCTTATTTAAACACGTTATTTACTATGGGTACAATTAGGTACAGTGACGAGTTTACCTTTTTGCTAGTAGCAACTACGGCATTAAACCGCCACCTTTGTAAATTATGGTATCACAATTATGTGATGAATTAAGTACAACATTGATACAATGTAGTTAAACATTAAAACGAAAATGACTGACGTATTTGGGTGAGGGATCGCTTCCATAATGTCCTGTTAAATGGAGGCAACGCAGAAGTGAACCATTCAATTCAATATTACAAAATTGAATAGTTCACAATTAAACAAAAATTAAACAATTAATAAAGCAAGGCTTCACCATGACTGTAAGCGATGGATGTTATCCTGAAAAAGAAACTGGAAATGCCATTCAAAAAAGTGTTGCAACAGTACAATAACCGTATTATTTTAATACGCACGATAATATGTACATGCCTGCTAAAATGCAGTGCGACTGACTATCATGCCGGCAGTGTTCTTATATTCAAAAAAATAAATCGCTTGTGTATACAACAAAAAAAACTAAATATCTAGCTATTGCAACTGCTGGGGCTCCGATTGAAAAGCTTGAAATGTCCATATGATAAGGCGCTCAATGCCCCAAAACTATGAAACAAAAAATGTAAATTTCCTGCACCTTTAATGTATGAAATGTTAAATTTTTGTGAATATGGTTATATGTATAATTCGCAGAGCTCTGTTTTTTGTACCTTTTGGACGTGCGTTAAAACCAAACGCTTCACCAAATATTCCAGGATGAAATGGAAAATTGACCTGGGGATCGATGGAATAACTTTGGCCTGAAACACATTTTATATATCGAAATCTGGTACTCAAAAGTTCGCTAATTTACAAAAGAAAAACAAATTAAAACCCTGTAAGTTGCGGAATGGAAAAATATAAGTCTACACCTACCTTGCCAGTACCAGCTTCCGGGAGCGCCAATAAACAGTCGGGTGCCATCCTGAAATCAAAAGACGCTCGTTATCGCAAGTACATAATTTACGGATAATCTTAACTAAATGAATATAAAATTTATCGTTTTACGGTAGTCTTGAACTGCGGCGCACAGTGTGCAGGAATAAAGCAGCGCGCCGAGATGCTATCGAGGTGTGTGTCGATTCCAAGATCGGCGTAACGATTTTTAAGTATCCCCATAAATATACTGTGCATTCATAAAAGGTACGTTGTAAATGTAAATTTCGTGTTTAGGTTAAGCCGTATTTTATTGAAATACATGTAAATTCTTGAAGCGGCGTTAAATTTGCAAAACAGCTCTAGTACTGGTGGCATGTATTGTTCCGATGACAACCCCGCACATTTTATTACGGCCGACTGCTAATTGTGATTCGTGTCCTTCTGTTGTAGAATGTTAAATGAGTCTACTAAATAAGTACCTATACCACTACAATTACTTTACAATGGAGGCGACAGGCGAAATTGTTTTATTGAGGTGGTATTTACATACCTACTAGAAGAAAAAGAATGTTGAATAAGTTGGAGTATTATGTAGTCTTTCATTGCAGGATTGTATTGCAGTGTTGCTTTTATCCGTAATTAATTTTAACAATTTTAATTTATGGATAGAAATGCCTTTAATTAGGTTCGATATTAAGATATACTTGACTGGTATAAAGTGCATATGCAAAGAAAAACATTTAGTTTATTTTCAGGAAATTAGAAAGATTGATGCCTAGGATTATACTTACATGGTCATGGCCACTGATAAGTCTGAAAACGGTCGATTATCGGGGAAAATATACAAGTTATCGAAAAAAGTTTTATCCATAAGTTTTGGAGTTCTTCAATGTCTGGTAGCACAGATTAACGTAACACATTAATGTGTGCTGGTAGGTATTTTTTTATAGTAACAATTTTAATTATACAGGGCTGGTCATAAAAAGGAGTGGCACACCAAAATTGCATTCTTGAAAATGTAACACTATATTTATTATTATTCCATATTTCAATTTGTAAGAGGCATAATGTGCCCAATCGTTTCCGGGTTATTAGTTTTGAAAATAAACTATGATTGAATGATTGAATGAAGAGCAATAATTATTTATTTCAAACAATCAAAACAAACATCTCAATAGGTTGTTTTCAGAATCACATAATAAGAAGATAACCCAGAGACGATTGAATTTGGGTAGATTATGCTTCTTACAAATTCTGCTTAAAATTAAGAGAAGAAATGAAATATCGAATAATATACAGGGCGTTCCAACAATTTCGGTGTCACACCTTATGACCAACCCTGTATACAGTGGCGTATACAAGGGAGGGGTTTGGGGGTTCAACCCCCCCCCCCCTTGGGTGATGCGCTCTCGCCTCGGCACTTGCATATTGCGGGGCACCCACAAAAACAGCAATGATACTACGCCAAAAGTCGGGGATATCTTGGATATTGATGAGGTAGCAGCAGTTGGTGAAATGTAACCAGGAATGAAACTTTGGTGGCAATATATTTCTTCTTCGCACAGTTCTCCAAAAAATGCTCTGGACGCACTGAAAATGTGCAATCCAGAAATATTCCCAACAGTGAATTTCTTATTAAGAATATTAGTTACCTTACCTGTGACAACTGCCACCAGTGAAAGATAATTTTCTACCCTGAGACGGCTCAAAACTTATTTGAGAAATACCATCAGCGAAAATCGCCTCAATGGTCTAGCTTTGTTGAATATTCACAGGCATATTGCTGTAATCATTGAGGAAGTGCTGGATGAACTTGCTCTCAAAAAAAGGAAACTTCCACTCCGTCTGTCTAACTCATATTTACTTCTTTATACATTTATTACTTTATTATTACTTCATATCTAATATGAATCGAAAATATGTTTTGTTTGAGTTTGAAATTATATTTATACTTATTCTATTCAAAATAAATTCTTTGATAATACTTCTGAAAATAATCGTTTGTTTATCATTCATTCACAAACTGGAGATATCCTTTCGCTCTAAACTGAGTTCCTATGCATATTCCTCCTTCCAGATTAGTTTAGAACATGAAATCGTAAGACAAATCAAGCAAATTCCCAGAAGTACTAAAATTGATGATTCAAATAACCTGCTCGGCCGAATATCTTAAACCCCCCCCCCTCGACAACATTCTGGATACGCTAATGCCTGTATAATTATAATTCTTACTGTCTAATAGACATTGAAGAACCCCAAAACTTTTTTTGATATCTTGTATATTTTCTACGATAATCGACCGTTTCCAAACTTATCAGTGACCCTGTATATACAATAATAATAATAATAATAATAATAAATAATAAGGAGGTAGAGGACTTACAGATATAAAACTATTGCACCAAACACAAATACACAATTTGCGACAATACTTTTATAACAAATCAGATACTTCAGTCTTACACAAATCAGTAACATATGCAGACAAATCTTACACACCACTTAACCTACACGAAACTAATGTACTCCCACCCACATCCAAACTTACATACATCACAAATAACATACAGACATGGAACCAAAAGCCTTTACATGGACGATTTCCACAAGAGGTTGGCCAGGATTGTGTTGACTCTATAGCAACGCACAGTTGGTTATCTGAATGTGATGTCTTCCCGGAGACTGAGGGTTTCATGTTAGCAATACAAGACCAGGTCATTAACACACGCAACTATAAAAAACACATACATAAAGATAAAACAGTGACAAATGATTCTTGTCGACTTTGTTCACAAACATCAGAAACAATCGAACATATAATATCGGCATGCACACGACTTGCACAAACTGAATACAAACATCGACACGATCAGGTAGCTAAAATCATACATCAAAAATTAGCACTTGCACACAATCTCATAACAGATACGACACCATACTATAAATACACGCCACAGATCATACTTAAAAACAACACACTCAAATTACCTATATTGGGACAGGGCACTACTCACAGACAAAACTATCCACAATAATAGACCAGATATTACACTTATAGATAAAACACAAAAATCCATTTGTATTATAGACATTGCCATCCCCAACACTAACAACTTAACTAAAACACATGCAGAAAAACACCGCAAATACACCGATATAGCTATCCAGCTTAAGACGCAATGGAGAATGAAATCTACTGTTATAGTTCCCATTATTCTTAGTGCTACTGGAGTTATACCAAAGACAATACACCACAATTTACAACTATTAGGTTTAGACAAAAACACATACAAAAATTTACAAAAAGCAGTCATTATCAACACATGCCATATTGTTCGTAAATTTCTAAACATAACACAAGATACTACATACACAAATGATCCACAACGTATACATGTAAACAGCAGTACTCGCTCACAACACGGTACACAACATACTGTAATATCTCAACCTCTAACCCAAACAAACACACAAATACAACTTACCGAGCAAACAAGTACAACAAATGATACAACATATACTACATTCAGAGATTCACCTCTGAAGCAAACCACATTATCACGACCCATTAGTATTCAACCCAAACGCAAAAGCCTAAACAACACTTTAGACTCACAACATGACACACAACATACTGTAATATCTCCACCCTTAACTCAACCAACCCCACAAACACAACTTCCTGAACAAACAAACGCAATAAATACAAGTAACGCAACTTGCACTACAAAGACAGGTCCACCCAATAAAGTTACACGTCCTAGCACAGTTAAAAAACACAAAACACCTTCTTCACAGAAACACACCACATTATCACAACCCACTCGTATTCAACCCAAACGCAAAGCCAAAGGAACACTTACACAATAAACTCTATTTAATAAAATTACAGGAATTATTATAATGATATTTTTGTTTTGTTTTCTTCTTTCCTGATAGCGTTGACTATTGTGGCCATTAATAGCTATGTTGGTAAGTATGAATTACATACTNTCACAAATACAACCACAAGAACAAAGAAACATCATAAATACAAGTAACGCAACATGCACTACAAAGACAGGTCCACCCAATAAAGTTACACGCCCTAGCACAATTAAAAAAAACATAACTCCTTCTTCACCGAATCACACCACATTATCACAACCCACTCGTATTCAACCGCAACGCAAAAACCTTAACAGAACTACAGGCTCACAACATACTAAAATATCTCCACCAAAAACCCAAGCAACTTCACAAATACAACCTCAAGAACAAAGAAACATCATAAACACAAGTAACGCAACATGCACTACAAAGACATGTCCACCCAATAAAGTTACACGCCCTAGCACAGTTAAAAAACACAATACTCCTTCTTCTCAGAAACAACCCACTCGTATACAACCGAAACGCAAAAACCTTAACAGCACCACAGGCTCACAAAATACTGCAATATCTCCACAAAAAACCCAAGCAACCTCACAAATACGACCTCAGGAACAAAGAAACACCATAAATACAATTAAAAAACACAAAACTCCTTCTTCACAGAAACACACCACGTTATCACAACCCACTCGTATTCAACCCAAACGCAAAGCCAAAGAAACACTTACAATTATTATAATGATTTTTTTTTTTTTTGTTTTCCTCTTTCCTGATAGCGTTGGCTATTGTGCCCATCAATAGGTATGTTGGTAAGTACGAATTACATTATCCCTAGATGTCCCATGTACGTGTGTGATTTTTTTTTTTTTTTTTTTTTTTTTTTTTTTTTTTTTTTTTTTAAGGACCCTACATAACTTCACTAGACACAGACACAGACACTAATCGTTACTTGATTTTAATCCGTGCGATTAGTTAACCGGGCTAGACCTGAGTTCTCACAAGAAACACCGACCATAATAATAATAAACTAGGAACAATCGAAAAAATATACTTAATAGACGATGTAATAGCTAGTATAAAGCGTAAAATCAAAGCTAAATGGCAAAACCTATGGGAAGATAGCAACAGCCAAATGAAAGAAATAGTTCCAGATGTGACCAACATCCCTAGAAACGAGCACTTGCGTAAAAGAGATCAAATTATTTGGACAAGACTAGCAATTGGACATACGAGAATAACACACTCACACTTATTATTAGGAAGGAATCGTCCTCGGTGCCCACAATGTGGTGAGATATTAAGTGTACGACATGTCCTACAAGAATGTCAAGCTCTGCAAACGTATACACAGGACTGTGACGTGGGTGGTGGACTCGACGAGTTAGTAAATAAAAGTACGTTTGAAAAAGTAATTAAATACCTAGAGACTCTAAACATTGCACGAGAAATCTGACCACCGAAAACAAATCTTGACCATCGCTGCATGGACATTCAATGATCTAAGTTGTCGAAAATGTCCATGTGGGGATACTAAGTGGAAAAAAAAAAAAAATGATAATAATAATAATAATAATAATAATAATCTTTATTCCAACCTAGATACAAAACTCAACAAAAAATTAAAAATTATATAAAGTATAAATTAAGGCAGTGCGAAAATAAACGAAACTTAGCTTAAAGATAATGTACTAGGTGAAATAATACTACACCAGTAAGAGTAATGAGAATAAAATTACTCTGAACACTGGGAGGAAAAGCAAATCCAAGATCATGATATAAACGCCATACACACGTATAGAAATCTATAACATGATTTCGTTGCAGTAGAAACGTGGTTTGAATGCTATTTGAAAGACATCTACAGTTTCTGTGCAACATCGTGGACAACTTGTCGGAACCGAAGCAGATCCCGTTCAAATCGATCAGGCTGGTTGTGCGGGCCGTCAAAAATATAACAGAAGACTGTTACAGGAGCGTGATCACTCCAAAGACGTGGACGATGTGAACAATGGAAACCATGGACTAAGAATCATAGGTGTTTGGGCGTAGCCTACCGATAGATCTAGCCGTGACATTGATTTAGTGACGTCACAACTGGAGATGGGCCACTGCAAACGCGATACTATGTGTTTAAATGCAATTTGATTCGCGTGCGTACTCATTGAACCCGAAAACATTAAGTAATTACTTATTTTGAGCCGCAGGATTGTTATATGTTGTTTCCTAATTATAGACACGTGTTATTATGCAAAAATTTTATTAAATACGTACATCAACAACAAATACTCACTGAAAACCGAGCTGAAAACAAATAAAATTTAAACATTCTAATACACACATCTGCCTTTTTTAGCGTAACACAACGAAGTTGAGGTAAGGCTTATGTGCTCGTTGTTCCCTCGTCTGCCTATCTGTCTGTTCCATCGAGATCTCGGCCCCTGGACCACCTAGAGACTACAGATTTTCGGTCATTTGTAGTTGCAAAGGTCTATATTTTCCCGTAACTCATCATTTACATCCTTTTCATATATGATGACTGATTTTCAAAAATGGTGGGATACGTGTCTTGGGCAAGTTTAATCTGGTCTCGTGGAACTGTTAATACTGTATCGTCTTATCTAGTCATCTTGTCTACCCGAATAATGAAAATGTCGGAGAAATGCTTTATACAAACCCTGGGGTAACTAGTAATTTCAAAATTGTCCCGGTGAATACATCTTAACCACTTTTTTGATCGTCTTCATTTTTCGGAAAACGAAAAACCGTAAGGAACCTTGTCTCTTGAACTATAATTGCTTTTGCAACCAGGGACGCAGCACGTATTTGGCATTTTCTTACTTATTCTGTTCGAATACAGTTAATTTAAGTGTACAACATTAAACTACTTGGAATTAATTACATTAAAAGTCGATATGACGGCCGCCGTCAGTTGTGACGTCAACGCAATAGTGGGGATGAGTGTCACGGCTAGTTCTATCGGTAGGCTACGGTTTGGGTTAAGAGTTAGAAATAAAGTACGCTACTTCTGTGTTGACAGAAAAGAATACATTAATTTCTATTAAACAGAGAGATACAAGCAGGATCGTACATTCATTAAATCGGGTATAACTATTCAACGGTTATTATAACCAACTCATGAAAATTATGTTAATCTCGACACTGGTGCGCATACTCAAGGTATTAAATGAGCATGCGGCTAGAGGTTCAGCGGGGTTTCTTTTAAATTAAAACCTTGTTCCAGGTTATTGATTGACAACATAGTCATAAAAAATATAAACATCAAATGAATGATGCCGTCGACTAGCTCAATCGGTTCGCTCTTTATTTTACCTTTTTTACGATGGTTTACTTAACGGATCTCCCTTAGCTGAAATGCTTACGCCAAAAAAGGGACTCCTTTAAACTTGTACTGTGCAATGTCTAGAATATAGAAAATAGAAGTTCACGTTCATATTGCAAACAAGTATAAATTGTGCACAACTCTTGTGCAGATAAAGCGCTTTTTTTAACCGAAATAACTTTTGTTTTTGACATCACCAATGGATATATTTCTTGCAGGCGTCTCAATCGCCCTTTGTGAGTACCCTCTTCCGACAATCCGTTCTTGAGGTATAAGGGAATATACCCGATCACGATAAGAGGTCGAGGAGGAGGGCTATGGTTGGTAGAAATTAATTCCTTTCGTTGAGACTTTTCATTAGAGTACCATGAAGGATAAAACTAGTTCCATTCCGCCTCCCCCTCCACCCCGTACTTTGATAAGAGGGCAAAAAGAGGGCAGTAGTTGGTAGAAAACAGTTCCTTTCCTTGCAACCTTTAATTAGAATACAATGACAGATAACATTAATTTTTAA